TCATTTTAATTATTCAGACACTGGGCTGCAACCTACAATCACTGTGTAAATCTAACATGATCAAACATCTGTTCTGCTCCCTCTTCTCCTCCCAAAAGTTGTTTTTAAATAGTGCATGTGCGTTAAAAAGAGGAGATACCATCCTGTTCAAGACTCATGCTGGGAGAGGAGATCTGTGCAAGACTTGCCCACTAGGAGGGACTTGTTCTAGAGGAAGCCCCCAGGGCTCTCCCCGCATCAGGGATCTGGGTCTGCCCTCTTCAGGGTTTTCATCAATCACTCAGATAGAGTCAGAGAACCCATGCTGTCAAATGTGCAAGTAATCCAAGGGGGTGAGGGTGTTCAGGGGCTGGTGGGTGAAAGTCCAGGGTCTGTGAAGCTCTCAACAGTGGTCAGTAAGGAGCAGCAAACTTGAGTTTTAGTACTGAGCTTCCTCAGATCAGTTGCAAAAGCCAAGGGTGACACAGACCAGAATAACTGCAATTAATAAGAGTGACAAATCAAGTGTTGATGAGGAGGGAGAGCACTAAGAAATCTCAGACAATTGCTGGTTGGAGTGTACGGTGGAAGACTGCTCAGCAGTACTGGGCAACTTGGGGGATAACAGGACTTCAGCTCACTTGGCTGTGCCTGTCTTCCTGATTCCCTTTTCCTCCCTCTCTCTCACTTCCCATGGCACAGGCCTGATTTAGGAGAATTTTCTTAGAAAAGAAAGGCTGAGTACTGGGTAAATAGTGGGATAGTTCATGGTTAAAAGCAAGGGCTCTGGAGGCAGACAGACCTGGATTTCAATCGAGCCCTACTACCTCTGAGCCACAGCACCTTAGAAAACTTACCTAGCCACCCTCTCTGCCTTGGTTTCCACAACTGCACAATGGGAACAATAATAGTGCCTAACTTGTTTTTTGTGAATCCTACAAGGCTTGTAATTTTGTGAATATTAAGTAGATAATACATGTAAAATGCCCAGAACACCTAACATATAATAGGCATTTAATCAACGCTAGCTGTTTTTCGTTACTGCATGAACAACTGTCATTTATCAAACACCTCCTAGGTGTTAAGCACTGTGATAAGAATTGGTCTTTGAAATACTTATTCAACAAGTATATATTGAATATAAACTATCAGGCAGACCCTCCAAGAGGGTACCTGCCCCATGTTGCTCATCCTTGCAGAAGAGACAGCATAAGAGCTACGATGGAGCAGAGCAGTTAATAAGCCGCTTGTCCTCTCTTACAGAGACAGCAAGAGATTACAACGTGTGTGTGCGTTCTACCTTATCCCAGCAGGCTGTGCCTGGCGCATAGAAGATGCTCAGTAAGTTCCCAATGAATGGATCCTCACAAAACCCTACTGGTACGAACAGGCTCAGCGAGGCTGATAATTTGCCCAAGATCTTAGAAGGTGGTGGAGGAGTCGCACCCACGTACGCCTTTCCTAGTTAAAAAACAACAGCCCCAGAGCCACGCCCCCTCCCGCCCTGGGCGTTTAAGTGCCCTGGACCCTCGCCCCGCCCCCCGTCACCACGTGGATTTAAAACCCACGCGGGCTCCGGGCTCCTGCCCCTCTCCCGCCATTGGCCGAGGCCGCCAGCACTGGTGTCCAATGGAGCGGGCTTGTCCCGGAATGAGAACTTGGGATTGGCCTGTCCGCTGTGTCATTTTGGGCTGCCCGTGACGTCAGCCGTGTCTGGCGCTCCCCTCCCTTTGGTGTCTCGACTGGCGTTAAAGGAGCCGCAAGGGAGAAGAGGCGCGAGTTGCTTCAGAGGCACTTTTTAAGTAACCTTTAAAAAATTTTTTAAATTAGTGTTCATAGTACGAAATATAGCAAACTGTGTGCGAAAAGTGTAGACTGCATTTAATCCATTACACAAACCTAACCACTGTTAAGGTTTTGCAATTTATCATTTCAGTCCTTTTTCTAATAATTCCGTTTGTACAAAATGGGGATCAGTTCTACAGCCAATTTTTAAATCTATTTTATAAAGGACTTTTCTCTCTATTATTAAATAATCTTTGGAAACATGATTTTGAACAGTTGCGTTCTCCCCGGCCTTTTTTATTTAATCATCCCCTATTTTTTTCTTAATTTCATTGCACTTTCGCTTTTACAAATGAAGATAGGGTCAACATTTGTTTCCTTAAAAATTTGTTCAGTTCTCTGATTATTTTCTTTAAATATGTCCTAGAAATGGAACTACTGAGTGAGGATACCGACACTATAAGGGCTAGTCAGAACTGCAAAATCGTTTTGCATTCATTCATTCAGCGGATATTTACAGAGTATATGTGCCAGTCGCTGCTAGGGACTGTGGATACAGCAGAGAGCAAGACAGACAGATGTAGCCCGTGCCTTCTTCAAAAATGCAACGTCAGTTTCATCACCGTTAGAGCCAGCTCTTGGGTACTGGTTTCCAAGCTCCATATCTGATGACAGATTAACCTAGTGGGGGGAATCCCTGTGCATATGGGACAGAATGGTATCTCCAATGCTGTCAGGGAGACTGCAGATGAAGGGTTCAGAGTATTTCCTGGTGCCACACCCTTGTGAGGACGGCTGGGACACCTCGGTGCCCCATTCCTTTGGATTCTGACAGTGCTTGCCTGGTGTTCTGGAGATCTTAGGGACATCTGAACATCTGTTCCTGAGACCAGACATTGGAGACATGCAGGACACAGTCCAGCTGGGGTGAGAGACACTAAACCAAGCAACTCACTAATGCATAAAAAATTGCAATTCAGGTTTAAGTTCTCTGAAGGGACCAAGAAGGTTCTAGGGTTCATTCGTATTTTGTACAGGATTAGGAGCCTCCAGAGCATAGAGCATGCATTAATAATGATAACTTTTTTCAAAAATTTGCTCCAAGCCAGCCCCTGTGCTAAGTGTATGAGTTCCCCATTTAATCCTTCTGGTGGCCCTGGGGGGAAGGGAACTTTCTGATCTCTATTTTAAAGATGAGAAAACTGAGGCCCAGAGTAGTTAACTAACCTTCCCCAAAAAGATCACATCACACAGTTAGAAATGGTGACTTATACTTGCGTGACCTCACAGTTTTTGGCATGCAGAATTCAATGTTTGGGGAATGGATGGGTGAATGAGTGAGCACCCAGAGGGTAAACTCTATGAAGGCAGAGCCCTACTTAGCACGGCCACTGTGCACCCCCAAGGCCTGGGTCAGCACCTGGCCCGCAGTACAAAATAGTGTCTGCGTGCCAGGAGAGGTGTCAGCATGGGCACAGCTCAGAGCCAGGCAGACACGGCCCTCCCCACGGCCTCCGTGTTGAACTTGCAGTTCACTCTCACTTGCAGCCCTCTGCACCTGCCTCCCCTCCAAACCCAGCCTGAGAGTGCCATGGCCCAGCCCCACTCTAATGCCTTTTTGCAACTGACAATCGCAGTCTTAATTACTCCTACCCACCATAAAATGTATCCTTCGCTCCTTCAGGAGAATAGAGAGATGGAACATGTTTGCTTGTGTATTTCTGTTACATGGAATCAGTTTCAATGACAAACAGTCCTTTTTGGAAATATGTCAGACATGAGCTGAACATCTGGAATCTTCCAAACTCCTCTCAGGCTCAACCTGTGTTAGAAAGATACCTATATTAAGCTATTTAAGGTAAACAAAGACTCCGTGGGGCCGCACCAGGAGTCAAGAGCTGTATTCTAGCTCAGCTCTGCCTTTCACTAGCACTTTGACCTTAGCCAGGTCACGTCTCTCTCTGGGCCTCAGTTTACCTATCTGTCATTAGATGGGATTGGCTCTAATGTTATCTTCTGTCCTCTACTTCCCACCCCTCATCTCCCTGCCTGGCCCCCAAAGCCCTGTTTTCTCAATAGAACCCAGTTCCCTGTTGGAAACAACAAATTGGACAGGAGAGGAGAATGGGATGACTCTTGGGGAGCAGGGGGTTGTGGGGAGTAGGGGGTTTGGGGATCCATCTGTGACCAGTTTAGGAGTTTTTTGGGCTTGCTGATGGGGAGCTCAGCCACAAGACATTTGTCCAGCAGGTAAGCTTCTGTATCAGCACCTAAACACACGAGACAACCAAGAAAACACACAACACACACATACCTACATGACACGAATACTCACTGTATACCCTACACATATATATATAACACACACAACATGCACCCTCAAACCTACAACACGGACTACATGCACACTTACACCACAAGTACAAACATGCCCCCCACATACATGCAGTGTGGATCTGCACATGTACACCCCACACATACACACAACACACATGCACCCACAAATCCACACGTTCTGATGTGGCTAGCCACTGTGATGAGGCCCTGACACACTTCCTCGCTTTCAATGTAAAATACTGTTCCCACCCCCACTTAGTGGCAGAGGGGGTTGCAGATTCAGTGAGGTGAAGTGACCTGCAAAGGTCACACAGGCAGTTGGAGGTGCCTCTCAGCTCCCCAGCCCACTCCAGCTTCACACCTCCCCTGCAAGTCAGATGCCCTTCATCTTCTGAGATGAGGTTTTATGAACGAAAACCACCAAACGATGGGGCAGATTCTGGAGCCCTGGGAGCCTCCAGGGAGCTGAGGAGGACAGCACTGCCTGAGTCACGCAGGGATGGCCAGGGAGGACCGAGGCAGAGGCAGCAAGGAGGGGAAGGGTGCAGGAGGCAACATCCACTGAGGCCAGCCCACAGGCTTTGGGGCCTAAGTACCTGCATTCACATCCCAGCACCACCTCACTCGTGGGTTCCTGAGCCTCAGTGTCCCCATCTGTTAAGTGGAAATAATATTAGCTTGGACCTCACAGAGCTGCTGTAGGGATCCAGTGGTTGCTGTAGGATCCGATGCGTGTTTGTGGAATGATTACATGGAAGAATATGTGGTGGCTAGGGCGGGGCCTGGCACACAGGCAGATCCGATAAACATCGGCTCTTATTCATGTTTTAAAGTAAAAGAAGACAAAGAAAACCACCAAAACCCAAAGCCTAAAGTTGACAGGCCAGATGCAACCACAGGAAAGACTTGGGCGGAAAGTGACTCAGCTGGAAGGAGTTTCTAAAGGTGAGAAGTTGGGACGAGAGGCCGTTAAACCACTTGAGCCTGCCCAAGACTGCTTCTGAAAAGGCAGCCCTGTCCCGGCAGGCCTGGGGGTGGCAGGAGGCGAGGGGCAGTGCTGGCGCTGGGGAGCCCTCCCTGCCTTGCCCCACGGACCGCTCTCAAAGCAGGCCCTTTGTTGACTCAGCCGGGCACTTTCCACAGAGCCCAGCCACCCTCGGCCGCAGCCCAAACCCAGGCTGGCTTCCACAGGTTCCCAGCTGGCTGCCAGCAAGGGCCTGGCATCTGAGCAAGACAGGCCACAGAATTTGTGGGGCCCTTGGTTCAAAAACGATTAATTATTACGAATCTCAAGACGGTGACAGTAGGGCATTAAACCAAGCCCACAGCCCTTCTGAGCTGGGGCCCGTGGGAGCGCAGGGGGTCGCACCCCCGAGAAGCCAGCCCTGCACTCGAGCCCAGCACAGGCTGCCAGGAGCAAAGTCTCCACACTGGCTCCGCAGCAGAGTCAACCCACAGGCAGGGCAGACAGTGGCACATGCTGTCTGGAGTCCTTGAGAGGCCTGTGCCTGCAGTCGCCTGTGGACACACACCCATTTCATAATCCCATGACCATAGCCAGGTTGGGAAATGTGTCCCAAACTCCGGACTCTGTGGGGCTATGAGGGGCCCTTAATTCCTCTTCCACCAACAGCTTTGGCCTTGGCACCTGCTGCCCTGGGCCGGGAGCTCGCTCCCTACCTTCCCTTACGTGACTGGCTCCCACCTCCCCGGAGAGGCTATCTGACCTCCTTGGTCTCAAGTCACCTCCAGACCCTCTCCATTTGTATTCTTCCCAGCTCTTGCCCTCTGAGATGATCACCTGGACTCATATGTTTTCACATGTGCTACCTGCCTCTCTTGGGAGAGTATGAGCCCCAGGAGGGCCAGGGTTTATACCTGGCCCTCAGTGGGCACCCAGTAAATACAGGTTGAATGAGATGCCACCTCCCCAGGAAGGCTTCCCTGATCTCGTCCCAACTTCTTGCTCTCCAACACTGTATCTGAAATGACCTTGTTGAACTACTGGTTTGCACATGTATCTATAGTCCCTTTCGCCTTCCACAGTGTCACCCAAGGGAAGGGAGTTTGCTTTGTTCCCAGCCCTGTGCCCAGTACCCAGCACAGAGCCTGGCACTGGACAGGCACACAATATTTGTTGAATGAATGAAGGAAACTTCTTTCCCTGACTTGTGGCCCTCCTCCAGGGACTCAGGCCTGCCCAGAGGTGGGGGGTCCCTCCCAGCACTCTGACTCCAGCTCTCCCACCTCAGCCCATCAACAACACCTCAGCCTTGCCACACTCGCCCTGGGCAGAGGCAGCAAGCTGTGGACTCTCTTCTGCATGTGCCAGGCCTGAGAGTGAGTGGCATCCCCCTCATGCCCGAACTCCCAGCACCAAAGTGCCTGGCGCACATAGGGTCACTGGATTTAGCAAGTAAAAATACAGGATGGCCATTTAAATTTGAATGTCAGATAAAAAACATAAATTTTTAGTATAAGTATGTCCCAAATGTTGCATGAGATATACTACACGTTATTTGAGGTCTATCTGAAATTCAAATGTAACTGGAGTCCTATATTTTATCTGCAGCCCCAGGGACACACGAAGCCTCCTATGAGTGCAGGCACTCAAGCCCACCCTCCTTCCAAAGCAATTCTGTCCTTTCCTACTGCCCACCCTAGCCAGGGGCGTGGCGGTCCCCAATCCCCTCATCTAGAAAATGGAGATGAGATAGCAGTTCCTCCCCTTCTAGGGTTGCCATGAGGGTTGAATCGCGTCACGGCTAATACTATTCAGCCCTCTGCTCACATACCTTCAAGGTGTTGACCTTCATTCCTCACAATCACGCCAGGCAAAGGCGCCGTGAGCTGCCCCATTTTGCAGAAAAGGAAACTGATATCAGAGAGGTGACCATGTTCAACTGAGGATACACAGCTGTGTCCTACCATCATGCCTGCCACCCTGCATTGAGCCCTCCAGGAAGAAACAACTTTGGAACAAGGGCTGGAGACCTCTAAACCCATCCCAGGTGACACCATCAGCACAATGGGGTCACACTGTACCACTCAATAAATGATAGCCATTGCTGTCTTCCCAGACAGATCAATGGGAGGTCAAGTGTGGTGGGGAGGTGTTTTTTTTTAATCCAGTGAATTAACTGGTTATTTTTGCCTGCCGGCAGTTCAACCTTGATTGTGTAAATGCTGCCTCATTTCCAAGACAATCAATGTGTGATTTCTAGCTGCCAGACTAGCCAGATCTCTGGCAAGAGACTTCCCGGAGGGCAGTGGCTGTGTCTGGCATTGCTGAATTCCCGTGCTCAGGGCCACAGCTCAGTGAAAGTTTGTTGATTGAAAGAATGAAGAAATGGCTGAAAGGAGGGGCATGGAAGGTCGTCGTCTTTGGCCTAGGAAATGAGTGAGACTCTCAGTCATCCCCAGGCCCAGCCTACGTTTTCAGTGCTCCCAAAGGGGCATTCAGGACACCCCCCTCCCGCACCCACCCCAGTTTTTCTTCCAAGTTGCAGAAGATAAATTGCAACAAGACCTTCGCCAGTAGAAGAACTGCTGGTGAAATTGCCTCTTCCTCAAGGCAGGCACAGAGAGTGCCCAGTTCACAGCAGGCCTGGGTGCTGCCCCACTCCTGGTTCTGGGCTTTGGCTCTGACTTAGGCCTGGCTGTGGCTCTAAGAGAGAGCTTCTCTTCCCAAACAAATGTCAGTGCCTTTGAACCTCCCTCTGGGCTGGACATTCTTGGGTTCCCCATAAAGTTCCAACCAGTCAACCACCCCTGATCTTGAACCCTCCAGAAAAAGTTTCCTAGCCTTGCTGGGAGAACGCTAGAGGCATCATTTGTGCCTGCGCAGGGAGAGAACCGACCACTACCTCGGCAGCTTTGTATGAGTTCAGGAGGATGAATTTGCTCTCAGCTAGACAGTTCTTTCCAAATTCCACCTTCACTTCTCAAATCTTTGCTTTTCCACCTCACTCCAATCTATTAAAAAGAAAATAACAATAATTTTTTTAAAGCTTTCCGCCCGCTCCCATACCGAGGGGTATTACTAAAACTCCAGGCATTACAGGAATATATGGATATTTGAAGAACTAGAAATATGTGGTGAGGGGAGAGCAGATACCCTGGGGACCTAGGTTGGAACTCAGCCTCCATCATCCTGTGACCTTAAGCAAGCGATTTCCCTTGCCAGCGTCTTGGTCTGTATAATGGGGATGGATAATAATATTTTGCCACACCAAGTTAGTGTCAGGTTGAGTTAATATTTGGAATGTTTCTGGCACACAGTAGGGGCTCCATAAGTGCTTCTTAAATAAGGGGAGGTTTAGGAAAAGGCTGTCTAAGAGGGGACACACCGAATTCTTGAGAGGTTGGAGTTGTACGGGAGAGGGGAGGCCTCTTATGAAATATTTTAGTACATTTTTAAGCCAAGAGAATGTGTTCTTGTAGCACTCGTGTAATTAAAACTTTATGAAATAAAGTCCCACCATCACTACTCTCCCCTCCCCCCCTCCACTGCACACACACTCCTTTTGAATTCCGGAGCCGCGCCCCCCAGCCGGTGGCCCCTCCGGCCCCAGACAATGGGTGTGGATTCGCCCCGGGCCCCGCCGGCTGGGGCAGCGACAATACACCAATACACTAGTCCCGGACACGTATCTACATGACAAGGGCTCCTGGGCGTTTCTCCCGAATTGTCCCAGGCGTGTCTACGCGAGTTCCAGTCTTTCCAAGTCGACCCCCTCGGGCTCGGGTTAAAGTGCGTGGAAGACGTAGTGGGCTTAGGTTCCTGGTGCGGCTGCAGAACCGAAGGCGGAGAGTCTCCGGCGAAGTCAGGCGATGGGTGATTATCCGGGGGGCTCTACCCTTCTCCAATTTCCCTTCCTTGAGCCCCCGGGGACCTCGTGCACCTTACCGGATAGGCTGCCCCAAAAGCCTGGGTCCGGAACCCCGGGGGCGGGGGAGGGCACACCTGCAACTGGCCCGGAGCGGCTGGGACCGGGAGGGTGCCGGGCAGGGTCTCCAACCTGACCCCCTCTGGGAGAGGACACAGCGCCCTCCCCCGCTGCGCGGATCCCCGGTCTACACCGGCCGCCGAGTTCTGGCCCTTTAAGAGCCCGCCCCGTTTGGCGTCACCCCGCCCCCCGGGCCGGGGAGGGGGTGCGGGGGACCCTCGGCGGGGATTGGCGCAGCGCGCGCCCCCTCCCCGGCCCCCGCGCGGTGGGAACCGGCAGCCCCGTCTAGCGCTGACGTCAGGCCGTCTGCCCGTAATAACTTCGTATAGCATACATCATACGAAGTTATCG